TGCTGAAATTTGGGACAGATTTCAAAAGCGTTTCAAAGACAAAGTTTGCCTAAGTAAATGGAGAAGGATTAAGATCCTGCTGGGCAGCATATCCTTTTTTACAATCCACTACCTAAAACTACTGCTGATTTAGCACAAAACTTCCATTAATACCTATGGGAATTCTACATGGAATGGCACCATCCAGACTGTTATTAGCATAATAATCTTCCAGCTTTTCCTTAATGGAAAGCGTTTCCTTTAAATAGTTACTAAATTTTTACAGGTTTATGCTCCTCCTTAATACCAGAGAACTCATTACTGAGGTCTTTTTTTTTTTTTTAAGAAACTTTCTTTTAGGAAAGCTCGTGCCACGAGGCAAGCAAAAATACCACTCTGACAGAACTGAAATAATAGCATTTCTCTAAAATGACTGTCTAACCTATCAATGATGAAATAAACTCAAGAAACAATTAAAGCTCAGTTATACATAATATTTCCTTTCTTTGTGATGTTTGAGAAAACACAGCTCCTTGGAGGCTGCCAATCAGGGATTCATTTCTGACTGCAGTCATAGAGAAGAGCAAATCATTCCCCTGCTGATGTCAGTAAGAATTTCACCATTGGCACCAAAATCACATTTTGTTGCCTTCCATACACAGGCTGAGCCAAATTCTGTGCTGCCCTAAGACTTCAGTAGGCACAGATGGATATGGATGCTTTACAGTTAATTGCTGACTTGGACTTCAATCCTATGTAAAACATGCATGTCCCCATGCAGACTGCCCAAACCATGGGTGGAATCTTAAGTGAGTACCATGCACCTGGGGGACTTCATTGGCTTGATCTGGGAAAACACTAACTAAACAGAAACTGCCAGTGCACAGTAGGCTCACTGAGAAAGCACCATGGAGAGGAAAGCCAACCTTGAGTTACTAACTCTACTTTCTCACTCATATATTCCCTAAGGAAAGCAAGAGTAGAGAAGAAATGCCACTTTCTTGCCATCAGGCGTTACACTTAGCTTAATCATCTCAAATTCAGGTCTGCCTAAAGAGACAGTCTAGCTATTAATCCTTTGGTTTCACATGGCTTTTTTAAAAAATATTTTTTTAATCAGATCCACTTCATTGTAGGTTTTCATCCCTGCTTCTGTCTCCATTAACATCTATCACTGACATCCTTAGATGTGATTTCCTAATTGAGAAATTGTCTGTCCGCAGGTAACCGAGCCCTTTGTGTTTCCTTGAATCCTACACAATATCCCAAAGATTTTCCCAGTGCAAGCTCTTTTTGCAAAAGCAACAGATTGACTGCGCAAACTGAAAGGTATTTTTCCCCCAACTAAACTGGTCAGAATTATGCTATACTGTTTAGTCTACATTTAATGTACAATTAATAGCGTAAGCCTGAGATGAGGCTACTATGAGATATGTAGTTGAGATGCACCAGCTGTTTGTACAAGCTTACCCTGCAGTTTTTAGTAATACAGTCAGTTATCAACTACTAACCTAAGCACGGCTGACAGGAAAGGATTCCTCATCAGTACACCTGTAGTTCACCAGGTTAAAAATGTAAGACATCCACCACAATTTGCACAGCCAAGGCTATGCAGAATTTCAGAACTCTGCTAAGCTTTTTCCCTCAACCTACACCCAAGAATTATGCTTGCATATATTAGAGACTTGGTGAGATCCCAGGACTGTCAGGTGCCTCAAAATCTCGTATTTTTTTCAGTGTAAAATAAGAGCAGGTCATATTTACACACTGTAGTAGAAGGGTGAGAAGGAAGGCAAATTTCACAAGTTTTCCCTTCTTTGCCGTGAATCCAGGGAAAAGGATGTAGCTCAGTCAAAAAATGTAGCATCCCTTTCTTCCCAAAAATATTTTAATCTGTTTCTCTCACCTCTCATCCATGACTTTCTATTGATTTCTACTTCCAATTTCTTTTTTTTTTTTTTTTTTTTTTAGCAAAGTCTTCTTTTGTTCTACCACTTTTATTTTATTTTTTACTGCCCTGTTTTGGCTGATGAAAGATGTTTTGGTCTTGTCAATAAGACAAAGCTGAGGGGGGGTTGAGGACTGACCAGGGTTTCAAGCAGAGGTGAGCTGGTGAGTCAGTAAGCGATGAAATAAATTGGACAAGTTTGATACTGTCAGTGGGACAGTCAAGTGGGTGAAGAATCAGCTGCTTTCAGAGTACAAGGGGAACCGAGGTGGCATTTGATAGCTCAGATAGTGTCCGACAGGACCCTTTCTGCTCTCTTTTGGTATAAACTCTCCAGCTGATGGCATTTATTTGCACACCTTACATACCGCACAGCACTGGGGGGTCTTTCCTTTTTCCTTTTTTTTTTCTTTTTTTTCTTTTTTTTCCCCCCTAGCAGTCAGACCCTCAGGGGTGGGCAACAAAACAACTTTCGGCAGAGGACGGCCCATAGGATTTACATCGGTTCTGAGAGCAAGTAGGCAAACAAGGCGAAATACGTGCTGACACTGGCAAGCAGCACTTCCATCACGACCGCAGAGCCCGCGCTGGGGAAGGCTTCGAGGT